TCTCTGAAACAGTTGTTTTATTGCTTTTCTCTGGAGGGTTTTTATAATTTCATCTTTCTTTTTAATATACTGTGATTATTTATGAGTCTAATGCTATTTTGTCTTGTTCAGCCCTTCGACTTGCCTTGTGTATGAATTGTGCTATACAAATAAACTTGCCTTGCCTTGTCTGAGATGTTGCTGCAGCAGAGTGTTCATGGTTTTAAAACTGGTCCAGACCAGAGCGAAGAGGATTCATGGTTTGAACCAAGTGGATAAGGAGAAAATCCACTGGAGGAATGCTAACTTTTTGAAAAATACTAAAGAAGGATTTACCATTTTACTTTGGACCAGAGCAGAGAAAATGGTCTGAACCAAGTAGCTACTCCACCTTGTGACCCATCCTGCTCCACCCAGAGGCTACTCCACCTCTGCTGCTGTGACCCGTCCTGCTCCACCCAGAGGCTACACCACCTCTGCTGCTGTGACCCGTCCTGCTCCACCCAGAGGCTACACCACCTCTGCTGCTGTGACCTGTCCTGCTCCACCCAGAGGCTACACCACCTCTGCTGCTGTGACCCGTCCTGCTCCACCCAGAGGCTACACCACCTCTGCTGCTGTGACCTGTCCTGCTCCACCCAGAGGCTACACCACCTCTGCTGCTGTGACCCGTCCTGCTCCACCCAGAGGCTACTCCACCTCTGCTGCTGTGACCCGTCCTGCTCCACCCAGAGGCTACACCACCTCTGCTGCTGTGACCTGTCCTGCTCCACCCAGAGGCTACTCCACCTCTGCTGCTGTGACCTGAAGGACTGTTGGTGATTATTACTGTTGTTATCTTTTTAGAATGATCAATTCATTTTTTTTATTTTTGCTGCTACTTGACACTTGAATTTCTCTTACGGGGATCAATAAAGTATCTATCGATCTATCTGTATGCTAAACTGAAGAGGTTTCAGTCTTGCCTAGAATGTAGGGTTGAATATGCAGTGGACCAGGTCCCATACACGCAGACTCCAAGACCAGACAGACCGGTCCGGACAAACAACCTAACCATATAATCAATTGAAGTGTTTTGAGTCTGGCCTTAAATGTAGAGGCCGTGTCTGCTTCCTTAACGTGGATGAAGCTGATTCCACAGTAAAGGAGCTTGGAGCTGAATGCTCTGCTGCCGACAGTGCGATATCACATGTACATATTTGTATCCTTGTAGAACGCTGATTGTTCTTTAGATGCTTCCACAACTTGTCTGGAGTGACGCTGTGGGATTTTATACGGCTCAACTTGATTTGGAACGGCACAGACCTTCATATTTAAGATCCCACAACTGACAGCCATCATCAGACCGTCAGACCAGGCCAAGAGGTCTAAAAAACTGTCTGCAGCCCTTCAGACAGAATTATATCAAGGCAGAGATCTGGGATACAGCATTGAAGGTCCTGAAGTGGCCTCTATCTTGGGAAATGGAAAAGTGATAAACCACCTGGACTCTTCCCGGAGCCGGCCTCTCGTTCTAACTGTTATCTACTCAGGGAGGAGACCAAGAAGTCGACAATCACTCAGACTGAGCATCAGCAGAACTCTGAGCAAATGGGAGAACCTTCCAGATGGAGAACATTAACTTTGACTAATTGTTTCCAAACGCATGGGACCTGTACCTGCTTTGAGGTCAGCTACAGCGTAACAACGTCTCATCACAAGGAAGCAGACAACACTCAGACTTGTGCCTCACTGACTACAGCAGAACCTGGACCAGTGGACTCTAAACTGGTTCATGATGAGTGTGTGTGTATATGTTTGTGTGTCTAGTGTGTGTGTGTGTGTGCGTGTATGATCGTGTATGTGTGATTGTGTGTGCGTGCATGTGTGTGCGCGTGCATGTGCATGTGAGTATGTGTATGTGTGACTGCTGGGAGCTGTCAGAACGACGGGTCTGGGAGTTTTAGTATTTTCATTTTTCTCCTGTGTTTAAATCTTGTGCTCCTTCAAACGCATTCGTGTGCCACTGTCGCCACCTACTGGACAAATGGAAAACCAAATCCTCTTCGGTCACGGTCCAACAGATCTGCTGGTGTCACTATAGTCTCAAAAAGTGTCAAATGTAAGATTATATGATTATATGATGAACTGTTGAATATCTATGTTTACAGAAACAATACTTAGGGCTCTATTACAACTACTAAAATAATTTCCAACTATAAAAATACTATGGACTTTGTTGGAATTTGGAGACTTTAATGTAGCATCTGATGAACATCATGCCACTCATACAATAAAACACCACTGCATTTTTGTAACACTTTTCCCTTATTTAATAGATAGATAGATGCTTTATTGATCCCCGTATAGGATTTTGTACTGTCAGTCAGGTTTGTTGTACAGTCTGACAGCCGAAGAAACAAAGGATCTCTTGAAATGTTCCGTTCGGCAGCGTAGTGATAGGAGCCTGTTGCTTCGATGACTCCTCTGAGCGGCCATAGTGTCATGCAGAGGGTGTCTGGAGTTACCCAGCATGCCCTGCATTAGAGCCCTCATCCTTCTCTCCAGCACAGCTCCCACAGAGACCACACTTCTCCCCATCACATCACAGTGTGGAGTGAATGAGGACCAAAAATGCGGGAATGCAAAAATAGAAATGATTTAATGAATAATAATAATAATAATAATGTAAAAAGTCCAAACAAAAATCAAAAACCAAAGAAACCAGGAACAGGACAGAAATATGACAATATGACGGACCAGCAACAAGGGGCGAGGAGCACAGGTACATATAGACTTAGAGAGAGAGAGAGAGACGGGACATATCAACAAAGGAAGTCAAAGTTAGACAAAACCACAGAGAACAGAAGTCAAAATAAACAAAACAAAACATGGATCTATTATCAACAATCCACACCACGACAAATTGGAGATAAGGTTCTGGAAAATATCCCTGGATTAAACATAATGGATGCAGTGTCTATGACTAATTTTTACCTAATTTGGCAACACAACCAAGGATGTAACGTCATATACAAAATAGTATGTGTCTGTGTCAGGACTCAGGAAAGCAGGAGGCTGCACAAACACATATATTCATCTCATTTCAGATTAACAAAGTTTGAAAATGTTTTGTCTCTGCAACCCCTGACTGTAGTGCGTTATCGTCCGCGGTTTTTCCATTTCCCTGCAGTAGTTATTTATAATCCAGATTACAGACCATAAATCAAAAGGTACGACGTGGATAACAGATTGTTTGTTTTTTTAAGGAAAACATGAAGTACCAATGGTCAACTTTATGTGTCTGAGGTCAGGACAGGCCGAGGCTCTTCTGTCTCCTACGCAGTGGTCTCAAAGGACGTTATAAAGTTATCGATTCACCGACAACAGATCAGTTCAAAAGCAGGTGGACAAAAGGTCATGTGAGCGTTCTGACCAATCAGAGCAGGACGAGAGCAAGCAGGGTGAGAGCATGGATTTCAAAAGAAGTTCAGGATGACACTAAAATCCCCACAGAATAAATAATTTCTCGCTCTGGTATCTCTCTTGTCCTTTGTTAGTCTCTCTCTTGTCTCTCTCTGGTCTCTCTCTTATCTCTTTCTTGTCTTTTGCTGGTATCTCTCTGATATCTCTCTTGTCCTTCGCTGGTCTCGCTCTTGTCTCTCTTGTCTCTCTCTGGTCTCTCTCTGGTCTTTTTCTGGTCTTTCTCTGGTCTCTCTCTGGTCTTTTTCTGGTCTTTCTTTGGTCTCTCTTGTCTCTCTCTAGTCTCTATCTTGTTTCTCTCTAGTCTCACTCTGATCTCTCTCTGGTCTCTTTCTGGTCACTCTGTGGTCTTTCTCCGGTCTCTCTGGTCTCTCTCTAGTCTCTCTCTGGACTCTCTCCGGTCTCTCTGGTCTCTCTGGTCTCTCTCTCTGGTCTCTGGTCACTGAGCTCCTCCTACTATTTCTAAGGGAGCGTCCGGCCACTTTGCCGAGGAAACTCATGTGGAGAGGTCCTCACACAAAGCTTGTGACAAGAGGTGAGGGAGGGGAGAGACACTTAGGACTTTCAGCCGTTTTCCAGCGCATTCAAAAGTCTTTCATATGGTCAGGAAGGTAAGACTGGACAGTTAGTGTTGAACAAAAAGGATGTGATGATCTTTAACACTTTAACATTCTACAACATGTATGACATTTATCAACATGTGTTCTATATTCTTCATGTGTCTTAACTGTTGATTCTCTGATCTGTGTTGGTGATTTCAATGGTTTTGTTAAGTTTCTGAGATGATGCTGTTGTGACCTAGGGCTATACAAGAATCCATTGTATAGTATTGTGTTGTAGATCATCTTATATTCTTTGGAATAAAGCTGTAATATTTCAAAATATAGATAAAATGAAGGGGGTTGAACACTTCCAGAATGCCCTGTACATAGTTTATTTGTATAGCACAGTTCAAAAACCCGACAACTCAAAGTGCTCAAGAAAACAAGATTGAGACAAAATCACAGAACCATACTAATTAAATAAATACATCCAAGTGCATTGAAAAGACTGAAGAAAGTGTCCTTCAGTTGTATGCACAGCAAAACAGGACTGTGTTTAACCTGGAACAATGTCAGAGAAGGAGCCGTTCCCACGAAGACCTGAACATGCTGAGAGGAGCTTTTATGACTCTGATCATTCTCAAGTGTCCACAGTTTGGGAGCTTGTACTGGGCCACACCAACAGCTGTGGAGCCTCCCTTCCAGCGTTATCGGGGTATCCGTGAGGAGGGTCCCAATCTGTGTGTGGAATGTGTGGGAGGACACCAGCACGTCCACGCTGAAAACACCACAGATAATTTATAGATTATCACGAGCAGCTTGGAATGAAAGAGAGAAGCTAATGCTTTGGACGGAGCCCAAGCACAAGGATTTTGTAACTGCGCTTTCTTTTCGGTGTTTTAAGTCTGTTTTAAATCAAGACTTAGTGGTTTGAATGAGGACTGAGTGGTAAGATGATTGATTTAATGGAGACGTGGCCAGTGTTTTGATCAGGAGTAGTAGTCATGGCAGTGATAGTAGTAGTAGTAGCGCCTTCTCCACGGCCACCCAGCAGGGAATTTAATAGAGATTATTAGCTTGCGAACCCACAATTGTAGACCCTGGTGCTGGAGTCCCCTGGGCCTTAACCCTGGTGCTGGAGTCCCCTGGGCCTTAACCCTGGTGCTGGAGTCCCCTGGGCCTTAACTCTGGTGCTGGAGTCCCCTAGGCCTTAACTCTGGTGCTGGAGTCTCCTATGCCTTTTATCTGGTGCTGGAGTCTCCTAGGCCTTAACCCTGGTGGTGAAAGAAGCTGAAGTGATGGCCGGGAGGAGGAGAGTTGATGCACGAACAGCAGCTTGAGTGTTTATTTACTAATAATCTATAAGGAAACCATAAAACATCAGAATCAGAATCCTTTTATTGCCACGTGAGTAACAAGAAGTCCAAAACTAGGACATTGCTTTTGCTCTCGGTGCAGACAAGTTAAAGCAGAATAAAATCAATAAGGCTTACATAAATAAAAATCTACAACATTTCTTCAGTTCACTGCAATTCATTTGATTATGAAACAATTATGAATCAAAACAAGAACAAGAAAGACATTATTCAACAACAGTGTTAGTTTCCAATCTGATCATGATTGGGATTAGACCGTTCACACAGCCATGGTAACCAAGGAATTTTTCGACGACCCAAGACGACTGCCCATTTGAATCAATGGCTTGTGCTCAGTGGCATTTGGCCGCATCATATTAGTGAAAGTGACCAAGTTCGGCCTCTGGTCCTGGTCTGAATCGTCGGTGAGCCGGTTCTGGTTCTTCCTCAGACCGAGGCAAACAAGTGTCCGTCGTCAGCGTTTAGAGGAGAGCGAGTCGTTGCATAAAAGTGTGGATTTATCCCTGAGCCCGACCTTTGAGAAATCTGTAAATTCTATGAAGCTGAGGATGAGCTGCTTTTGTAAACAAGTCTATCACACAATTTCCTGACTGGTCCTGGTAATTTTAGTCCACAGTACCATGGATGGCCCACCTCCATGCCAGGGGATGCATTGTTATCATTAGAAGCATGGCTAACCACGGCGATTTAATTTAGATAGGGCACACTCTCTTGTTATGTTGTGTTGTGTCATGCAAAGTAACCAAACCCTTTTAAAGCAAAATGTTAAAATGTAGTAAATGAAAGTAGTGAGACCAGGAAAGAGACTTGGTCCAGTACTCGAGTAAAAGTACTCTATATTAAACAGCACGGAGGACGTTCATGTGAAACCTCGCTCTGATAGACTCCAGAGCTGCTCTCCTCTGGAATGCTGTCCAAGAATCAGGCTTGTGTAACCGGCTGCATCCTGACTGCTGATTGGCTGTGACCCGCGACGGCCCCAAGACGAGCCGTTCTGATTGGCTATGGCCCGCAGCACATTTGGAAGTGTTTAGTGAGATCCTTTTTTTCAGTTGAAGTCACATGGGACGTTCTGTAACACTGCACTTAACTCAAAATGACTTATTTTGGCTGCAGTGGGGAGTGCACCTCTGCTCCCTCAAGTCAGTGTTCCCACGCCTCTGCTTTTGGGGCTTTGTCCATGTTACAAGGTTCTGTCATCTAAACAGACACACGTTTTTAGCTTTATCCAGGTTAATATGAAGACTTCACTCTGATTTGATTTGATTTGAGCGTAAACACACGTAAAGTGGAACTAAAATTAACCCTTAATGCAGAGTATTTTTAGAAAGTAACCTTGCGATAAATGAGGGAGCACGAGACAACGCCAACAGAAGCATTACACATATCTCCACTCTTCTGGTCACCCTGGAAAAGCCATGTTCCAGCTTCTTCCCTTTGGCAGAAGACATCGTTCGCTGAGATTTGCTTACAGCTTCTTTCCACAAGCCGTTATCAGTTTAAACAAAGCACTTTAAATGATCTTGCCTTTGTATTGAAACTGTTTAAGTTTGATCCATTTCACGAAGACAATTTTTTCCTGTTTTTGTTTGTTTTATTTTTGTATTTTTAACCTTGTTTACAGGGCGGCACGGTGGCTGAGTGGATAGCACCGGTCGGAAAAGGGCCGTTCTGAGTGGAGTGTTCTCCCAGTGCGTAGGTTTCCTCTGGGTGCTCCGGTTTCCCCTACCACTAAAAACATACTCAATAGGTATGAATGTAAATGAGAGAGTGAATGGATGGTGTTGGAGCTGATGGTCCAGTGTGTTCGGCTTCTGTCATCACCGTGTGTGGAATGATTGGAACAATATCTGAACTCTGAACATTGTAAAGCTCTTTGGGTGACCTTGGTCTGTAAAAATGCAGTATATAAATAAACATTACTTACTTATTTCTGTGACTGCCTTGTGCATACGGGCGACTTTTGCGGATGTATTCCAATGTGGTTTTCCTGCATCTGATTTAATTTTCCTTCTGGGGTTCCGGCCCCTGAGGAGACTGTCTGGTAAAACTCTGGCCCTGGGACAAATATTGTCAATGATCTCTGTCTTACACGGTGGGTCTGAAAAAACAAGAAAAACTGAAGTTACTGACATCACCTTTAACGAGAGTATGAACAACCCACAGCTTTATGCGCATGAGACTATCAAAGATGGCTAAAGTACTAATCTGACGTGGTTTCTATGTTCTTGTTTTGAAAAATAATGTTTTAGACTTCTTAAATCAATAATAAAAGTAGTACAGTGGTGTCATGATATCAGGATAATTGAAACTAGTGGGGTCAAACTTGGATGCAAAAGCCAGATCACATCAGACTTTCTAAGCTGTGCAAGGAAGGGGCTGGTTAGTGCTATGATGGGAGACCTCTGGGAACTTCAGGTGCTATAGTTAGGGCTAATCTTCTGAAAAGAGCCGCACAAAACCAAAGCATTATTATTATTATTAGTAGTATTTATAGTAATACATTAAACTTTTTTGGACACTCAAAGACGCTTCACATGGGGAATAAATACAATAATAAAAAAGGGGTTTACGGAAAAGTTTGTTTGAAAAGATAGGTTTTGAGACTGATTTAAAGATTGGTAGTCGGAGTTTCTGATGGGATGTGGGAGTGAGTTCCAGAGGGTTGGGGCGGCAATGGCAAAGGTTCTGTGTGGGTGATGGGAGTGAGGAGGTGAGTGTGATGGGAGTGAGGAGGTGAGTGTGGGTGTGGGGGGGAGGAGGTGAGTGTGGGGGGGAGGAGGAGGTGAGTGTGGGTGATGGGAGTGAGGAGGTGAGTGTGATGGGAGTGAGGAGGTGAGTGTGGGTGATGGAGGTGAGGAGGTGAGTGCGGGTGTGATGGGGGGGAGTGGGAGGTGAGTGCGGGTGATGGGAGTGAGGAGGTGAGTGCGGGTGATGGGAGTGAGGAGGTGAGTGCGGGTGATGAGAGTGAGGAGGTGATTGTGGGTGATGGAGGTGAGGAGGTGAGTGCGGGTGATGGGGGTGAGGAGGTGAGTGCGGGTGATGGGGGTGAGGAGGTGAGTGCGGGTGATGG